GAAAGGAAAAGAAAGGAACATTGGTATTATTGATCCATTTAATAATGAGAGATTGGTGTTAGAAATGCGAAAAATATCGCAATGTTTTTAAAAAATGAAATTGCAATTTATATGTTCTTTTGAGATTACAATAAATAGTTCTACAAAAAGAAAATGCAAATTGCAATTTCATTTTTTCTGAAATTTGTAATACAAAAATTCAAATTCATAAATGTTGCAGGTTGTGAAATTTACATCTTAGCTAGAATTAGAATAAGAAGAAGAATATTAGTGGGAATAAAAGTATCCTTTAGAATTTAGACTGGCTGGGAATAAAAGTAGAGAAAAGTGTTTTTTTTTTTTTTAAATGTGAATTACACATTTTTTTTTACCATTTAAATGTTAAAATTACTAAAATACTTTAATAAATAAATATAAAAGATAGTTTTATTACGGATATTTTGATAATTTTAATATCTAAATTGCATAACAAACTATAACCCTTACCAAAAAAAAAAAAACACACACACACTGCTAATAAAAGTATCCTTTCATTACCATGGTCAACAAAGAGTTTGAAGATGGTGTTGTATGCTAAACTGGTGCTGAAAAGGGTTAGGTAATGGGAAATATAGAAGCACTTGTAAATTGTCACCAGGCGCAGACAATGGAAAGTGCTAAATTCAATAAATAGTTCATTATTTATGTGATTTATTTTAATTTAGTTTAAAAATAATTTTTTTTAAATAATCTACAAATTATTAATTTTATTTCAAAATTGTCTACTTAACAAATATTCTATTAATTGACAAATCGAATTCTTTCTGGTAGTCGACAAGTTGCCTCTAAACTTTTGAAAAGTGTTAAATTTAGTATATATTTTTTTATTTTTTTGTAATATTTTGTTTTCGAATTTTATATGTTAAGTCAAATGTAATAATTAATTAAGATAATAATTTTAATTTACATTGATCAAAATTTTAATTTTAATTTACAACAATCAATATTATAATTTAAATTTTATTATTTTTTAAAAACTTAATATCATTATTAAATTACATAATTTAAATTTACAGGTAATTTTAATTATATGTGGGTGCTTATTTAATTAAATTAAATTTTG